TATTTACTTAGAAGTAAAGATAAAGCCTTAGAAATGTTTAAACTCTATAAAATTGAATTTGAAAATCAACTTGGAAAAACCATAAAAATGGTTAGAAGTGATAGAGGTGGTGAATATGATGCACCATTAAATGAATTTTGTCCACAACATGACATTATTCACCAAACTACAGCACCCTATTCTCCACAACAAAATGGAATTGCTAAAAGAAAGAATGGAACCCTTAAAAGAAATGATGAATGCCATGTTACTAAGTTTGGACTTGCCACAAAACTTGTAAGGGGAAGCAATATTGTCTACTAATTATGTTCTTAACAGAATATCTCACAAGAAAACCAACAGCACTCCTTATGAATTGTGGAAAGTTTGACCACTTTCTTACAATTACTTAAAAGTGTGGGTGTGTTTGGCAAAGGTAGAAGTTCTCGTTCCGAAAAAAACTAAGATAGGACCAAAAATAGCGGATTGTGTGTTTATTGGTTATGCTCAGAGTAGTAGTGCATATCGGTTTCTAACTTATAAATCAGAAATACCTGATATAAATGTGAACAATGTTATAGAGGCAAGGAATGTTGTGTTTTTTGAACATGTCTTTCCTTAAGACAGGAATTAAGTTCATAGAAAAGAACTTATGATTATAAACAAAGTCAAAAGACTAATGACAATCTAACACAAGAGACTAGTAATGGTCTCAACCAACATGATTTAACTGATGATGAACCAAGACGAAGTAAGAGAGTAAGAACATCAAAATCCTTTGGTCCAGATTTTCTAACATACCTGTTAGAAAATGAACCTCAAAGCTTTAAGGAAGCAATGACAGGTCCTGAAGCACCTTTGTGGAAAGAGGTTGTTAATAATGAAATTGAATCCATTATGCAAAATCATACTTGGGAATTGGTGGATCTTTCACTCGGTTCTAAACCTCTTGGATATAAATAGATATTCAAGAGAAAAATGAAAGCAGATGGTTCAATAGACAAATATAAAGCAAGATTTGTAGTAAAAGGTTACAGACAAAAGGAAGGTCTGGACTATTTTGATACATATTCCTCTGTGACAAAAATAACATCCATTCGCATGCTTATTGCTATAGCAGCGTTGTATAATTTAGAAATACATCAAATGGATGTTAAGATAGCTTTCTTAAACGGTGATCTAAATGAAGAGATTTATATGGAGCAACCTAAAGGGTTTGTAGTGCCGGGACAAGAAAAAAAAGTTTGTCGACTTGTAAAATCTCTTTATGGATTAAAACAAGCACCTAAGCAATGGCATGAAAAATTTGATCATGCTATGCTTACTAAGTTTAAGATAAACGAATGTGACAAGTGCGTCTATGTTAAAAACACTGACCAATGATATATCATAGTTTGTCTTTATGTGAATGACATGCTTATCATTGGAAGCAGTCAAAACATGATCAAATCAACTAAACAAATGCTGAATAAAATATTTAAACTAAAAGATATGGGGGTTGCAAATGTTGTATCAGGAATGAAAATTACTAAAATATCTGACAGATATGCATTATCGCAATCACATTATATTGAGAAAATTCTTGGTAAATTTATCAAGGATGATATGAATGTAGCTAGAACACATGTAGACATCAGTCTTTATTTATCAAAAAATAAAGGTGATGCGGTATCCTAGTTAAAATACTCCCAAATCATTGGAAGCCTAATGCACCTACTGAATTGTACTCATTCTGATATAGCTTATGCTGTCAATACATTGAGTAGGTACACTAGTAATCCCGGAGAAAACTATTAAAAAGCGATCATTCGGGTTCTTAGATATCTAAGATTTACCCATGATCATGGTTTGAACTTTACTCGATACCTTGCAGTACTAGAAGGTTATTGTGATGCCAATTGGATATCGGATACTAAAGATTCAAAATCCACTAATGGATATGTCTTTACTTTGGGAGGCGCTGTTGTTTCTTGGAAATCCACGAAACAAACATGCATCACACAATCTAAAATGGAATCTAAGTTCATTGCTTTAGATAAAGCAGGAGAAGAAGCATAATGGCTTTGTCACTTCTTAGAAGACATTCCAATGTGGCCTAAACCTGTGCCAGCTATTTGTATTCATTGTGATAGTCAATCTGCAATAGGCAGGGTACATAATCATATGTGTAATGGTAAGTCACGACATATTCGTTGTCGACATAATACCATAAGGCAATTGCTCTCAAATGGAATAATCTCAATAGATTATATAAAATTTAAAGAGAATATTGTGGATTTGTTAACAAAAGGTTTGACTAAAGAGCAAGTGTATAATTCGTCGAAGGGGATGTGATTAAAGCCTATTACATAAGAATTATCATAATGGTAACCCTACTTATATGACTGGAAATCCCAATAACTAAGTTAAAAGGGACAATTAAGTTATGCATGGCTCATCAGAAGTCACCAAGGAATTAAAATTCCTTACCCATTCTTATGGTGAGAGTGATATCTGCAACATATGTTGTATACATGGGGTTTAAGGATAAACTTTGCTTTTAATGATTACTTATATCTTGATTTAGGCATAAAATCAAGACGAGTATAGGAGATACTCATAATAAGAATCACCTATATGAGTGTCGAATTGGGGCCGGTTCTATGAGAATGAAGAGGCTAAATTCTCTAGAAAGCACTCATGAACAACCAGAAGCGTTCAATGCCAAAATGAACACAACTGTGAAAACCACAATGTGTTAGAAGATATTTTGTGTGAAATCTATTGTCTTGGCTTACACAAACAGCTGAACAATTCAAGGCATCGCGTCTATTGGCTAACTAGTAACTCCGATAGGTTATCACTAGGGAAGATTCAAGGCCGAAAGTTACTTATCCTGATGCAAGATATTTTCGATTTATACTCTTTCGACAAATTCTACATATTGTTGCATTTCTATTGTCATCAAATTCCATTCGTATGGGGGATTATTAGAAATGGTTTTGAAGTTTTGGAAAAATCTGATTTTTCTTTAACTTTAGTCTATTTTTTAGGTGGGAACCATGCGCCGAATTTCGCAGGTCAAGGTGGTAACGCGTTCTATGCCGCGTTGTGTTTCATGTGGTATATTTGGTTGCTCAAAACCATTATCAATGGGAAATTGAAGCCAAAGTGTACTCTATGGAAATGGAGTTTTAGTGGAAAATCCTTAAAGGTTTGAATAAAGGCTTGTCCTACATTGGTTTGGTGGGAAGAAATTTATGGGTTTATAAAGCTTGGGATTATAACTTTGGGAGAGCCTCAAGGGGCACCCAAAGTTTGTAAAAGGGAGAGGTTATGGGTAAATTTGATAGACCTATTGGACCCAAAAATAAAAACACGTGCGCGCGCCGCCGCCGCCGTCCATCCGGTCGATCGGGCGAGCTGACCTTGGCCTGGACTTGGGCGCGAGTGCGTGGTGTGAGGTGGGGTTGGGCTTTTCCGTCCTAATACTAATCTTTTTGGGCCAAAAATATTTGAATTCAATTTTTTGTTTTTTGTAAAATAAAATCTGTCCAGTTTAAATTTCAATTTTTTGAATTAAAATTTGATGCACCTCTTCAAAATTTTATGTATAGGTTCACTGTCCAAATAGATCCAAATCTGTCCAGATTCAAACCCAAAACAATTTTTATTTTTTTGAAATTCAAACCAGATTTGTTGATCTGTCCGAACAAGTACCATACTTGTTGGATTCAAACCTAACGGCCACCATTTTCATCTACAAATAGACTAGTCCACACTTGGTTTTTTCACTAGATTTTTCGTCCAAAAAAATTCTGCAATTATTCTCTGCATTTTGCTGCCTTAAATTTTTGTGGAAATAGTGTAGATACTTAGTGTGTTCATTGTGTAAACAATTTGTAGTGCTGCTATTTTTTGTTGTTGATCATTTTATCCTGAGAGATAGACGTCTACAATCTGAAAGCACCGTGGGGAGGACGAATCTGCCTTAAGGACACAGTGTTAAACACTGGACTTGATCAGAAAATTTGTTCAAGAAATTAATTTGGTAAGTTATTAATTTACTTTCTATTTTATTATTTTTCTGCTTCATATTTTGATTTTTTGTAACAAAAAAAAAATCTATTTTTTATTTGTTTTATTCAATTTTCTGGTTTGATTTTTTTAATCAAACGATCTCTCTCATTTCTTTTATTTTTTATGTATTCCGTTTGTTATTAAATACACAAACAGAATTTATTATTTAAATAGAGTGAAAATTGTCCAACAAATTTCATTGACTATCACGTGTGAACACAAATAACATCATCGACGAGAATCGATTTTTATTATCAATCTTTAGAGATCCAACAGATTCTCCATTATTATCAATTTTTATTTATTTTGGGGAGTGAAAATTTTAAAAATTATTTCCAACAGATCCCTTAAAAACTTTCTTAATTTAACATATGCTATAATGACACTCTATACGTGGAGTCACTGTTCATCCCTTAAAAATATAATATTAATTTTTCTCTCCTCTTTTTTCTGTTTTCTCTCTCTAATTTAATTGTTACATTAACTTTTTTAAAAACAAGTTTAATTGAAAAATAATAATAAATTAATATTTAAATAAAATAATAAAAGAATAAGAAGTATTAGGAAAGTAATTAAAAAGTGATATTCTAAAATAAAAAATGCACTTTTTAAGTAAAATTTAAAAGAAACATAAATAACATTGTTTGGGATGCCAATCGAGACAAACCAATCAACGGCACATCCGGAGCAATATCTATCTATCGACCAACATGGAAACCTCGCCATCTACGATGACAATTCCCAAAATATTACCACCAAGGATCCTCTAGAGTATTTTTTTCTTAAAGTTTTTAAAGTGGTGTATTGTGTGGTTGAGATTTAATGCTGAAAAATTGATGTGACTTGTAATTAAATCTCAACCACACCATGCACCACTCTAGGAAATTTTAGGGAAAAAAAAAACTCTAGAGGATCCTTACTCAAATGTTACACTTTGGCATACAAACGTTTCAGCACCGGTGATGGCCACGAGCAATTCTTATTCAGCTCGACTCTTGGATTCGGGGAATTTGATGTTGTTTCAAGGCAGTGATACTAAAAATGAAAGTTTTGTTGCATGGCAAAGTTTTGATTATCCTACGAATACTCTGCTGCCCAACATGAAACTCGGGCTGGACCGGAGGACCGGTCTGGACGGGTTCCTGACATCATGGAAGTCGAAAGACGATCCGGGCACAGGAGAATCCTCGTATAGGATGGTACCAAGTGGGTTGCCCGAACTTGTATTGGACAAGGGCTCAGTCCGATTATATCGGATCTTACCATCGATCGGGAGCAAACTGACTGAGAATTTCACTAATTTCATGTTCCACTCGAGTTACATTGATGATCCTGAGGAAGTCAGTATAGCTTATGCTCAGGTCAATGGCTCGCGTTTGTCTAAAATTTTTTTGGACGAACTTGTTGGGGGGTTAAAAATGGATACGTGGATCGATGTGGAGGGTCAGGGTAAATGGGTCGAGTTCTACTCGGCCCCGAATGCCAGCAGCGGGGTTTGAGTGCGCGTGTCTTCCAGGGCACGAGCCCAAGTCAGCAAAGCAATGGAATCTAAGAGATACAACAGGCGAACGGTGAGCTTGATGAACTTCTTGCAAAGGCTTACTCAGGTGTAGCTGATTCGGGCAATTGTATCACATGGTATGGAGATTTGATGGATGTAAGAAAGTTCGATAATGTTCTGCTTTACCGGTATATACGTGTTGATGCTAATGAATTAGGTATGTTATTTAACTAATTTCATTATGCTAAATTATACGGAAAACGACTTGGATCTCCACAAGAGGCACCCCCTTGACCCTCTCTCTTTTTGATTGGTCAAATTTTTTTTTTTCCCTTCTCCTCCAATCACCAGCCGACACGTGTGTGGGGAGGGGGTGGTAGGGGTGGTGATTGGAGGGTCTCAATCACTTCCCTAAATTATACTTGCCTATCTAAAATCATTGATAATTGTGTAGATTTTTATTTCTCTCTTTTTTTTCTTTCTTTTTTTTTTGTTTTTTTTGGTGATAGTTTCTAAAAAGGTACAGTACACTTGGCCAAGAATAGACCAAGGGGAGGCATCGCCCCTCTACAATTTAAAAAGTTCTCTTTATATATTAATATTAATTATTGATTATTTTAAAATTATACGGATTAATTAGTTTCCTCTAAGTTGTAAAAAAGTTCTCTTTATATATTTGTATGGGTGATTTTCTGACCACACTGTCCGCCTAATAATCAGCTGGAAAAGCACTGCCAGAATAGATGGCTTCAGCTAACCTGTAACAGAAAGAAAAGGCTCCGGCGGTGGCTCTTCCACCTGGGGGCACTCCGACGATCAAGTCAACATATCTCTCAAAGATAATCAAGTGCTAAACTCACAAGCTTAAGCATAAAATTGCGTACCTTAGACCCACGGGGGTGCCTCTCTTTTATAGCCAACTCAATCCTGATCCCACTATAAGCCTGACTTCTATGGACTCTCATTCAGTGCTTACTTAGGATTTCACAAGAGATAAAGATAAACTCCCTAAGAGGTTTATCCTTATCTTAGCAAAGTTCCCTCTTTACTCTAGGACTCTTGCCCCTTATCAATTTATCTCGGATTCTGATATCTTCAGAGATAACCTCAGCTTTGCCGAGATAACCTCGGCATCACAACCAAAACACGTGGCACCTCGGCTGACACGTCGGCGTCACCTTGCCATGTGTTGGTATTCAGAAAATACATCCCCACAACTGTCCCCTAGGTTCTATTACCTTGGCATTCTGAGGTGATGGAACCTATATCTGTATTTTCTTCCACTAAATCGGCTTAAAATTTAATAACCGAGATCATTCATTTCAGGCCGACATGCTTCCCTAAAAAATCAAGTTTTTTAAGGGCCTTCTTACGCGCATGAGCTGTCATGCACTTCAACACAACCGTTTTAGCCACGTGTTTCCCTCTTATTGGTCCGTACACATGACGCGCCTGTTAGCCACCTCTTTTTTTATGTGCGTTGTTTGACGCCCTCGTTCTTCTAGGCGTATTGATTGCTTTTGCCGCCATTTCTGTTTAATCAAAAACTTTTCCCCTTTTTTCCGTCTCTTCACTTTTTCATTCGAATCTCCTGCTATCTCTCTCTAGCTTTCGAAACCCTCCATTGTTCAAGCTTTCAAAGCTCTGCAACCTTCTCCGTTCACCCCTTCCGGTGAGATTTCCGCTGGTCTTCTGCTCCTGCAACCGTCGTAGGACATCGGCAAATCCCTTTCCGGCTTCCCTTTTTCTAGTAAGCTATTATTCTTTTCGTTTTCAATTCCCTGATGTTTCTTCTTTTTTTGTTGTCGCCATTACTGTACTGTTTCAAGCTTTTTTAATTCATAAATCGTACATCTGAATGCATTCATTCATGATTTTGCCTTTGCCTGCATTTTGAACACACACACTGTTTCGCCACTTCTTTGCACTTTTGCCACTGTTCTTGGCCATATACTCTTGTATTCTTCATGTTCTTGATAGTCCATCTTAATTCTTGTTTCTGAAGCTTTGTTTTTGTTTTCTGTTTTTTGCATCTTTTCCAGATTCTTGCTTTCAATTCGTGTTTCCATAGATTTAGGTCTGGGATTTGTCTGTAGAACCCATAACTTAGGAAAAAACTGAAACCTGCACCTACCTTTTTGTTTTCCAAGGTCCCAATAGCCTTTCAAAAACATCTTCTGAGACCCACCTTCTAAGATTAGGCCGATATCATGGGTATGTGGGAACATAGGGTAAACACTCCCTCCAAACTAGAATACTTTAGACAGGAGTTTGAGATCCCAGCCGACGTCCATTTGAGGTTGGCTGGGGATGATGACTCCATCATGCCCACTGCTGACTCCATGCCTTTCCACTATAAGTTGAACCCTATGCAACTGGCCATCAATTCTTACCGAGTGATCAATGATATTATAGCCCTAGCTAAACAGGAAAACGCTAGGATCACCCTTGCCGACATCCAATATTGCTATAGCATGTGTGGCCTTAACTTGAAAGAAAAAGGCTACATTTATTACCTTAAGCCGAGGTCCAAAGAATTCAAAATTGTAGCCGACCTCCCAGACTCCAACAAGGGAGCTGGTGACGATTATTTCATTATCTCGGGGAACTGGGAGTTCGCCCCAGATGAAGACCTCCATCTCTTTCCTCTCCCACGATCAATCTTTATAGAGGGTAATGGTAAGAGCTCTGCATTCATACTTGTATTACTTTTAAAGTCTTGTATACTTTATCTGTTTCCTAATGTCTGCTTTGTCTTTGCTTTTGCAGTTCTTCCTCAGCCGCCAAAAAACTTTCGCCAATTCTTTGTTCCCAGCAAGGATTTAAAGAAATTACTGGACCTGCCAGTTTAGAAGCGAAAGGCACCCCTGCTTCTCAACTTTATCCTAACATACAAATCAGCTCTCCCCGACGTCCCCAGGAAAAAGAAGAAGAAGAGCTTATCTCCTCCCTCTGCTACAACTCTTCCAGCTGCATCAACATCGCGAACAGACCAAGGATCAACCTCTGATCCAACAGAACAGCCGTCGACCTCGGCTCCATACCTCATTCCACCATCCCAAAGAAAGCGTCGCCGACGTCTTGTTCTTACAGCCGAGATGGGTCGCGCAAAGCCAGTTGCTAAAGACCTCCTAGCTAACATTCCATCATCCATTGACGAACAACCAACACAAACCCAACCTCTAGCAAAACCCAAAAGAATAAAAAAGGCTCAACCAAAGGCCAAGGTAGGTCAGGTTGAGTCTGAAGACACTCTGCCTATCTCAAAGTTGGCTGAGAGTGATAAATCTCAGCCTTCTACTGGGAAGAGGCGCTCTGAGTCTCAACCACCAAAATCCCAATAACCAAAAAAGCCGAGGTCTTCCTCCGCCACAACTTCGGGATCAAAAAAGCCCGATGCGCCCTGGGCCCCCACAATTACTTTGGAAGACAAGCCTGTCATGGCAAGTGATAGTGCTGATGATATAAACGTTGGCGTCACACTTAGTACCGCCCTGCTTCTTCCAGGCGACCTGGAGCGAAACGCCCAGTATAGTGAATATAAGAACTATGCTCTAATGCTTCAACACTCTGTTCAGGTAAATTTCTTCTACTTGGTAAATTTTTCTTTCTCTTTATTTCACACTTTGAATATTCTTTAATACCTCTATTTTTTTTCAGGCCATCCAGCATGCCCACTCTTTCTCAATGCAGTCTTTTGAGAATAGGGAGAGGCTTGCCGAGATGAGGAGGGAGGTCTCCAGCCTCCAAAAGACCAACAAAGGCTTCCGGTCAAAAATGAAGAAGCTAGAAGACCAAGCTGAGGAAGCCATTAAGGCTCAGACCGAAGCCGAAGAAAGGTGGCCGAATCGCAAAGGAGAGAGGCCGAGAAAAAAATGGCCCAAGCTGAAAAAGAGCTTCAGGAGGCCCTGGCCACCAAAGAAGCTGAAATCAAAGATGCTGCCGAAAAGGCGTACTCACAGGGTATGGCCGATGTTACTGAGGCCTATGAGAAACAAGTGAATGAGGCATGCAACAAGGGTTTCACCCTTGGTTGGATGTCCCTTCTTAAAAAGCTTAATGTTCCTGATGACTCTCCATTGCGGAAGGCCGACGTCATTCCCTTGCCATTTTCTCCAGCCCCAATTCCAGGTGAAGATGTCGGCGAATCTGATGCTGATGATGAGGCCGAGGAGGAAGAGGACGAGGCTTTGATTACAAAATCAAAAGATGCTGATGGGGCCAAGTCCCCTCTTCAGAATAAGCAAGTCCTAGACTTGACTTATGATGAAGAAGGCAATGAGGTTGTCCAAACAGTTGTTCCCGACATCACACCAGCCGACATCCCTTCTGAGGTCAAGACTGTTGAAGAAACTCTCCAAGAAATTGACGCCGAGATAGCGGCAGAGAAGGAGGCCGAGGTGGTATCTGATCTTCAAATTCAACAATCTGGAGGAGAGGAGCCTTAGTTTTATGTTCATCTTTTACTTACTTATATTTTGTTGTTTCTTTATCGTTTGGAACAATGTATGCTTTTTGTGTGGCCGATGTGCCTTTTGGTGAATGAATATAACTTTTCTTTTCTAAGTGCTTGCACTCCTGTCTTTTCTTTTTTGCCTTTGCATGATTCTATACTTAGAATATTCTGCATATGTACACTCTTCCTCCTTTGTGTAACCTTCTCGGGCTGACACACCTTGGTTATGCCAACCGATGATATACCTCGGCAAGTTTCTTGTCTTTGGTTTATCTTCAACTTGTAGATTGCTACAAATTTCAACAAGTGAAGATAAACAATTATCTCGGCTTAACTTCAACTTGTAAATTGTTACAAATTTCAACAAGTGAAAATAAACAATTATCTCAGCTTAACTTCAACTTGTAGATTGCTACAAATTTCAACAAGTGAAGATAAACAATTATCTCGGCTTAACTTCAACTAGTAAATTGTTACAAATTTCAACAAGTGAAGATAAACAATTATCTCAGCTTAACTTCAACTTGTAAATTGCTACAAAT